CCGGTGCGATCTGAGTGTCGATGTTTTGCTGCAGCTGCGCATCATCACCGCCGTGGGTGGTTTGGATCTACAGCAACAACGATGCAGTCGTCGATGGGCTCCACTACCCATCGACAATCGCGAGAGTCGTCTGCAGCCACAAAGTGAATGTTGCCGCCGGTGCGATCTGAGCGTCGATGTTTTGCTGCAGTTGCGCGTCATCACCGCCGTGGGTGGTTTGCTGGTGGTTGGTGGTGTCATTTGCGATGGTTTTTGGGCAGTGGTGGTGGTAGAAAATGAGGTACACTGTGGGTGGTTTGCTAGTGGTTGGTTTTCTGATTAGCTCTACTGCTTAGCCAAAGTTTTGGGGGGTGGTGGTGTAGGTACAGATGGTGATGGCGACGGTGCTGTTTTGTATAGATAGTTGTGGTGTGGCGAACATTTTTTGATTTATGACGAGATCGCCATTTGACTACGGGATAGTTCGTTGTGACTTTTCGTGACCGATTGTGCCCTTTTGTGATCGATTGTGACTGGTAATTGTGACCGGTTGTGCCCTTTTGTGACCGTTGTGACTGGTAATTGTGACTCGTTGTGACTTGAAATTTTGGAAATTTTTTGGAAGTTGGGAGCAATGTTTTAAAAACCGGACCGGGCGTCGACCCGGAAAAGAGAAAGGGTCAAGGGTCAAAAGGTCGAATCGGGGTCGAACCGGGATCGAACCGGTGACTTTTAAAAATTAAAAAATATATTTTTTTTTTTAAAGAAAGAAAAGTAAAATTTTAAATCAAATCACAAAAACAGTCAATTACAATCAACTAAATCAAGTGCTACTCAATCCAATTATATAATGTAAAATAACTTAATAAGCCAATAACATTTCTTTATAATCTGCTTCTGCTTCTACATATGACTTCTTATTTTAAATTATCGTCTTGTCATTTTTTTTTTTTTTGAAATGAACTGTAATTTCATTAAAGTCGCAAAAAGCGGATACAAGGAGGAAAACCCTCCAACACATTGCTCTCCTAAGAGAGGTTGAGTGCACCCATATCCAAGCAACACCAGACTAATCAAAATAAGACCCAACAACAGACATAACATAAACAATACAAGACCCAACAACNTTTTTGAAATGAACTGTAATTTCATTAAAGTCGCAAAAAGCGGATACAAGGAGGAAAACCCTCCAACACATTGCTCTCCTAAGAGAGGTTGAGTGCAACCATATCCAAGCAACAACAGACAAATCAAAACAAGACCCAACAATAGACAGAATAAAAACAATACAAGACCTAACAACAGACTAAACAATACATGACCCAACAACATACTAAACAAAGCAAAGTCGAAAAACAGCAGTGACTTTACAATACAGGAAAAACCCGACTTAAAGCCAACTTAAAGGGAAATTGTCAAAGATTAAAATAATCAATGCAAAGTTACAGAATCAAATAAAAAATGTTTGCTCGTGCAAATTCAGCATATTCCCTGTTTTGTGGGTTCCAATCACTATGTATTTGCCCCTCCCCAGTCATTACGAAAATAGAACAAAAGTTTTTAATTTTTTCTAACAATCAATTTTTCTTTATGGGTTATCACAGATTCACATAAATCATCTCAAAAAAGACGTAAAAATATGATTAATTCCACCAAGTCATTATCATATATAAGAAGAAAAAAGTTCAAAACCAAACCCAACAAATTTTCCAAAATCTGAAATTAGATAAGAAAATAACAAAAAAAAAAAAAAACCAACATATTATTCAAAACCAGAAACTTACAGATTATGAAACAAAAAATCTTATCCCTAATATAAAGTTTTATAAAAAAAAAAAAATGGAAAACAATGAAAAAATCAAAGTGTTTAAAATCAAACCTGATAATATTGAAGCTCAAACCTTTGAAAACAATGTGGAAGAACACAACCAGCCAAGAATCAAGCAAGACCTGGAAGAAAATATGTTTTAAATTCTATGGAATGGAGAAGAGAGAGCCGTCTGGAAGCCGGAAGTGAAAAGTGAAAACTGGAAAGTGAAACAGGGTTTCGTTTATTTGAATTCTAACCCCTTAAACCGGTCCCGGGTCGCGGGTCTTCACTAACCCGGCCGGTTCAACGGTTTTTTACGCGGGTCTTTAATTAAAGGGTTTGGGAGACAGCCCGGACCGGATTTGGGCCTGGTTCCCGGTTTTTCCGATTGAACCGGCCGGTCCGGTCCGGTTTTTAAAACATTGGTTGGGAGTGTCTGGATAGGGTGTGTAGGTTGATCGGAGCATGCGTTGGAGTAGCCATTGAAGCAGTTTGCCGGAGGGATCGTCGAATAG